TATATAATTACTTGGTAATCATCACTTGTTCAAATAGTGACATTTGCAGACACAAATGGAATTGATAAATTTGAACAAAATAGAATGTATTTCTGATTAAATATAAACAATTATAAAAATAAAGTTAAATGAAATTTAGTTTGTTGACTAAGTTCCCTGCAATTTTTAAAAGCTCACCGTGTCATGTATTATATTATATTATAGTTCATGAAATTAATCTGAAGACGAAGTCAGAGAAATTTTATATCTGAAAATTATAAATGATGATTATTTTACTTAAATGATTTAAGTTATTCACTAACTTTGAGAAGCTTATTTTTACCTTCCATAAGGAGAAGTTTATGTTTCCTCGACGTTTCAAGCCATTCTGAATCGAATGAGACCAAATTTGTAAAAAGTATGTATGTGTGTATGTGAACAGATTTTTTGCCGTAAATTGACGTTTTCTCAAAAACGGCTGGACCAATTTCAAAAATTTTAAAGCCATTCGATGTATCTGGATTATATAGGACTAGTGTTTATTAATTTTGCGCGACGATCAGCCCCGTTTCTTTGTAAATCGCAGAAAAGTGAACAATTTTTCGTCCACGTTTTAGCCCGCAATCTGAATCGATTTTGAAAATTCAAAAACTGTTCGAAAGATATTGGTTGAGAATCGTGCTGATTAGTCCTTACGTAAAGATCGGCCAGGCCGTTTTCTTGTAACGAAGTGTTAAATTTTTTTTGCGTTTTGTGTGACGATCTGCCAAGCCGTTTTTTTGTAATTTGGAAAAAAGTGTTAAACTTTTCCTCCATATTTTAGCTTATATTACCGAGTCGATTTTCAAAAACCAAAAACTCTTCGAAAGATGTTAGTTGGGAATGATACTGATCAGTTTTCTTGTAATTAACTGTTGAAAAAAAATTAAGCTGATTTTAATGGAACTTTTTTTGGCGATATATATCATGGTCTTATAGAATTTACTAAAATATTATAGCCTTACGACAAGTAGTTTAATTTTAAAAATTCATCAAAGTTTGAGAAAATGAGTAGTTTATTTGATGTTTGTTAAAATTAAAACTAGACGATTTACTTGGTATAATGATAGAGTACTTGGTCTTAATGAACATATTAAACCATTAAAGTTCTACGGAAACTGGTTCAATTATAAAAATTGTTGATTTTTGAAAATTTTCTTTTAGAAAATACTCCGAGTTAACGTATTCGTTCGTTTTCAATTACTAGGTGTAATAAATCCACTCGGAATACTTTTAATCACTTATACAATAATTTATATTTTATTGATTAAGTCGATTATTTACTCATATCGGGAAGTTCATGTAACTTGCCTCAAGGCAAAATACCAATACCCACTAGTTATTTGTGTGAGAATGATATATAATTTAGAAACTAAAAACCGTATATGTTCTTCCAGAATAAACACTCAACTCATAATGTGTGTCAATTTATATGAACAAAAGATTAAGCTTTTGTTTGTATTTTAGATTCTATCAGAGATACTATAATACTTGAATCTGAGAGATTTTAAAAGGAAATCAAACGATAAATTGGTATTTTTTATGATCACTTATTCATTTTGTAACGATGATTTGTATATACCTACTATTTTTTATAAGGACGTGGAGCAAGTCTTCAAAGATAACTGTATGGATATTTCTTGCTATTAAATACTTTTTAATATTTATTTTCTACGATTATGCTTATAATTTGGTTTAACAGTATAATCAAAGTAACACTATTTATTTATACTTTATTCTTTTACAGGTACGGTCATTTTTCTGGCATAAATCGTAAAGTTCAAATGAAATACCAACCTCGTGGACGTCCCAGAGGATCAAGTTCAGATGATGGTAACAGTTCATCACACACTAACAGCACGAGTATGAAGTTTTTGCTTTGCTTATTTTATATCATTTATGATATATTTATTATGTTTCTTATTTTCTTTGTAATTTTATGTTTGCAATAGAAAAATTAATGAATGCACCTTTAATTGTAAAAGTACTTCTAAGATTTCAGCTTCGACATAATCGGTAATATAAAAAATAATGTGATCGAAATATTTATTGAAGCAACTTTTGAATTGTTGGATTTGTAACACGGTTGGTTCCATACTTAAACTATTCAAGCAATACATTATTTTGCTGGCATAAACTACCAACAGCATATTTACAATGGGAATAATAATACTTACTGATTATTCGGGTAACATTATGTAAGATACCAGTCAGTAGTTTTTATCCTTTTATTTGAAAATTAAACTGTAACATATTTTTGTTGGACCTTTTAAGTGTAATCTTATCTGCCGAATATGTTATAATTAATCATTTTTACGATATAGGTATTTAACAATAAATTTCGATAAACAAATTGAGTGCTACTTTTCATAATTTATTATTACATTAAATAATTATCACCATTAAACATTCTGATCAACCCGAAGGATTTGATCTTTTTTCCGAAATTATAGTTAATCTAATCAAATTCTGGAAATCGTATTTATTGAACTCGAAAATTTTGAATCAATTAATGCTGCATGGCATTGTGTCTTGTTGAGTAAAATGCTGGCACTTTTCGTATCGCAATTTAAATGCTTTGAAATTTTCGAAAACTTTGAAAAATAAGATTTGTGAGAATTTTAAAATTTTTATTATATAATATTAATTCTAAAATAATTTGAAAATTTATTTTCGTAACATTCGCACTGCATAGCCATTTTAGTATTAGTAGCGAAATATCAAAGCGCGTTCGCGCCGCTCTGCTGTCTACCTATTATTAGTCATTGTAAATCTTGGTACAGAACTTATAGAAGTATAAACAAAATTTGTTTTTTATAATCTCTATAAAATATCGTATTAACCTGCCCTCCAAAAAATCAGTTTTTCATTTTGTCAATACAAGTAAAATGTTTTTTTTTAAATCATTGAAATTCATCCGTTCTCTTAAAAATTGATTTATCATTTTTGGCACATTTTGCCCCGTATATTTGAAACGGCTATACGTGCATTTAGCCAAAAACTAATCAACACGTCTCCTTATGAATAGAAATTGAATGTTTTTTGAATCATACAAATCGGTTGATCCGTATTCTTGATATCGTCGACGAAAAACTGTATTCACATACACTTCTGTAGAATTTATTTTCAAAGTATGATTTTACACATTTCTGCAAGATTTAGTTTGCAAACATTATCCCTTTCATCACGCTCATAAATGATATAGTCATTATCATAACATGAATTTAATAATATTAGGCATGGCATTGAGTCAATTATTCAATTTTTTATTACTTATTTTGATTTTTAATGAAATCAATTTCACATATAATGACCAGATTAAACCCTATATAGTATGACAATGACCAGTATAACTGATCGTTATACTTCACAGTTTTTTGGTACCAAAAACTTTAATAATATAATTCTAATACAATAATGTTAATTTTTAATTTTAATGATAATAGTATGTTTTATTCTCTGTTATATTTCTTTTTTAGTATTTCTTATTAAATTATAAATATATTATCTAGCCGGAGAACCTAAAGAACCATCTCTGGTTCTAATATTGAAATGGGGCGGCGAATTAACTCCTGCTGGTAGAATACAGGCAGAAGAGCTTGGACGGATGTTCCGGTGCATGTATCCAGGAGGGCAGAGCAGGCAACTGAACGGTGATTAGTTTCCCAAATAATATGGTTTCTTTTCTCCAAAAAAATTTATTCAACACTATTATACAAATATATTTTACAAAAGGTGAATCCGGTGGAGCTCAAGGTTTAGGACTATTACGTTTGCATTCCACATTCCGGCATGATTTGAAGATATACGCTTCTGATGAAGGACGAGTTCAGATGACCGCAGCTGCTTTTGCGAAAGGTTTACTAGCCCTGGAAGGCGAACTCACACCAATATTAGTTCAGATGGTGAAGAGTGCAAACACAAATGGTTTATTGGATAATGATTGTGATTCTAGTAAATACCAGAATATGTGAGTAAGAATTATTAGTTTGCTAATTCATCAAATAAATATTTTTTTAAATTATTTTGTTTGTTTAAATGTGGTTTCAAAATTGTGATAAGTCAAGTGTGTAAGAATGATGTGACGGGTTTTCTAAAAACATACTTAGTACATATTCTTAAAATGTATTAATTTTAAGTAATTAAAGATTACTTTCTAATGTTCGATAATATTTGTACAAAAATATTTTTTAATCAACACGAGTTTCAAACATTTTTAGCTGCTCAAATATTACTCAATATTCGATTTAATTTTTATAACATTGTAATATATTAGTTACAGAAAATTTTCATAACATTGTAATATATTAGTTTTTGATTAACCATTCTTTCAGTGCGAAATCTCGACTTCATGAACTAATGCAGCAGGATCGAGAGTTCACAGTCGAAGATCGAATGCGCATCAATCCAGGAAATGCCTTGAGTATTAACCAGGCTTTAGATTTTGTCAAGAATCCTGTGAAGTGCTGTGCACATGTTCAGAAGCTTATACAGCAACTTATAGAAATTGTACAACTTAAGAAAGACGATATAAAAACCAAAGGTATTATACATGTATAATACATTTATTATATTATTTATTATAAATGAAGTTTATAACAACAAACAATCGCGTTTGGTTGTATACTTTGTACTTGAAACCAGTCATTGTATAATCATTGTAGACTTGGATAAATGTAATTAAAGCATAATTATTGATAATTTTAATATTATAGAAATTAATGAAAATTTCGAAAAGAATATTTCGAAGATATTAAATAATATTTACTCACATATAAAATATGGGTTTGACGATTGAATAGATAATTATCTATTCATAGAGAAGCTCTACGAAAAATAAAATTATAATATTTGTTATTATTAAGAAATTTATATATGTTATTAATGCGAAAACATTTGTTATTCAGTCATACATTTATTATGCATTATTATAGATGCAAATTTATATCACGGTGAAACATGGGAACTAATGGGTAGAAGATGGGGCAAAATTGAAAAAGACTTTTGCCAGAAAAATAAAACTTTTGATATTTCGAAAATTCCTGATATATATGACTGCATTAAATATGATCTACAACATAATCAGCACACTCTGCAGTTTGAACAAGCTGAAGAATTATATACCTATTCAAAATATTTGGCAGACATCGTTATACCACAGGTAATATCGATGGGCTCTCTTTTTCCATATATTCAACTACTTTTTTTTTTTATTTGATTTACAGGAATATGGATTAACGATGCAAGAAAAGCTTACAATTGGCCAAGGAATCTGCACACCCTTACTGAAAAAAATCCGCGCAGATTTACAAAGAAATATAGAAGAAACAGGCGACGAAACTGTTAATAGACTAAATCCCAGGTGAGCATAAATAAACATTTATTAAGTTAATAATTGAAAAGCACACAATACATTGGATATTATTTCATTTGAGTGCTTATTTTTGATTAATTTATTTTAAATGACTACAGATATAGTCATGGTGTCTCTAGTCCTGGTCGTCATGTTAGAACTAGATTATACTTCACAAGTGAGAGTCATGTTCACTCCTTGTTAACTGTACTAAGACATGGAGGATTGCTCGATGTGAGTTCATTATACAGCATTATAAATTAAATTGCATTTAATATTTACCTGTTCATTTGTGTTATTTTAATCACTTCTATAATTTAATTTTCAGGTATTATGCGACGAGCAGTGGCGTAGAGCAATGGAATATGTATCAATGGTTTCTGAATTAAACTATATGGCGCAAATCGTCGTGATGCTTTATGAAGATCCTACCAAGGAATTGTTCTCTGAAGAGAGGTAAAGAAGCTAATCATTGACATTATAATAAAGTTATTAAAATATTTTGTTTTTCAATGAATTTTTAATTTATATGTTTTTAGGTTCCATGTGGAGCTGCACTTTAGCCCTGGTGTAAATTGTTGTGTTCAGAAAAATTTACCACCTGGCCCTGGATTTAGACCACACAGCAGAAATGATTCTGTGACTAGTAGGACAACGGTTTGTTGGTTTTAAGTATATATAGTTAAACTAAAAGTTATAAATAATAACTAAAAGTTATTTAAGGGGGTTGTTCTTTTTTTTATTTTTCTTTGTTTCGGTTTTGAGATTTTTTTGATATTATGAAAGATAAAACCCTTAGAATCATTAAAAAAAAAAAATCATCTCAATATCTATTTTTTTGACGAAGTTATAGATATATATATCTCTATATGTATGATCCTCTGAAAGCGTTTTTTTATCGCTCCGCGAGCTATTGTATGCCAGATTCCTCTTTTTCATTATAATACCTCATGCACATGACCTTTTTAATGTGTCAGCATCTTTGAACACCATGGTGTATTTAGTACATTAAATTAAATGGTGTATTCAGTACATTATATTAAGAACTTTAAATACGTTTTTCTCAAATTGACTTTTTTCAATGCGGTGCCACAAATTAAACAAAAACTACAAGTCGGATCGACTTGCATTTTTTTTTAATTTGTTCACCACTGCAATACCGAGTCCCCCTACCTCAAACAACTTGATAACATTACGCAAAAAAATTTTGCGAAGCTTCTCGCCCCAAAAAAGGCCTTTTTTGACACTTTTTTTTTTTGAAATAGCTGCCATTTTTTTCCTTCTTGCTTTTTTTCTTTTATTTTGGTAGGGGGACTGGAAACAAACTTCTTCTTCAACGTAATTTCTTTTTTTTTTTGTTTCGGGCGATGCGCAACGGATTTATCTGTGGCACCGCAAAAGAGATCGATTTTGCAAGACCGACTTTGGCGCCCCCTGGTTAAAAAATGACGGCGCAAAAAGAAAAGAAAAAGAAAGAAGAAGAATCACGTAATATTCTATGATTTTGTAATTTTTGTTTAAAAAAAACCGCATGTCTCTATGATAAATACATTTCGAGAAAAAACAAAAACAAATACCTTGCATTTTTTGTAACGAAAAAAGAACAACCCCCTTAAGAGAAATAAAACTCATCACTATCTGGTGTAGAATGTCCATTTTTGCGATTTTTTAGGTTTATCAGGTTTCAATTGAAGGTTGAGCAGTATTATTTCTAACTTATCATACCGCGCTATTTTTTTAATGGCGCAGTATTACTTTGCTGTATATATTAAATATAAGATATTTTGTTCTTTTGTAACAAATTTCATGTTTAGAGCGGCGATGAGGAGGCTCCATCTAGAATTGAAGAAGAGGCAGAAGTTGCCATGGATGAAGATAATTCTAATACTGGATCGATAACTACATCTAATGCATCTACAGTTGTAAGTTAACTGAATAAGATAAAAGAATATATGATTCTGATACGTAAACATATTTTCTCTTAGTAAGCTAAAAGTCATAAGCTTTTATGCAATAATTGACAAAGATAAAGAAAATATTAAAAACGAATGAATTTATCCATCTGATTGATTATTAAACTTAAACAAAAATTCATTCAGTTTATATTTTTTAATAATACTTTTTATATAAATTAATAAGTCTCAATATTTTTTACTACACATATGCTAACCATTATCGTTTCATATTTTATATTTTTAATATACAGATATGAGCTAACAAATATATTTTTTTTTTTTAGAAGGACGTCATGATGGATGTTGATTCAACAAGAGCCGATATGGCTTTGCACAAGCCAAGAGTACATACCATATCAGAACCAATTGCTATTGGGTCAGTTTATGAAGAAATTTATAATCAACAAATATTTTACATTTTATATTTTATTTATTTTTTATCATCTATAGGAATTGTCATACTGTTAGTGGCCATGAAGCTTCTGATCTTGCAAAATTATTGAGTGCTGAGCTATCAAATCAGCAGCAAAAGCAGGTATTTTTTAAATTTAAATTATTTGCAAATTATAATATTTTTTATTGTTTTATATAAATAAAATAAAACATATTTTCTTTATAATACTAAATACCCTGAAAATAATTTTGTTATATAATAATAAATTACATTTATGAATGAATCGTTAACTTTTAACATATTTTGTACTTAAGTTTTACATATAGAGTGTTATCACTTTTAAATAAAAAACATACATACAGTTACATAAAAAATATTACAAAATAATTAAAATTTTCAAAAATTAAATAATTGAAGTACTACATTTGAAACTAGGCGTAAGTGGCATTTTAAAATTCATTCGATAATTCATTCATTCATTCGTAATTTAATAAGTACTATCGTTGGTTAGTTTTGCGCAACGACGATTAAGGCTCTACGACGAATCGTTTAATTTGAAAAATTTATTATGCAATTTTTTTTGTTTTACCCAAAAATCCTGGATTGATTTTGAAAATTCAAAAACTATTCAAAGGATATCATTTGGAAATTTTGCTGATTAGTTGATTAGCTGGTGATTGACAAAGACCTGCCAGGCCATGTTTGTATAATAATAGAGTATCTCGTGTTAAAAGATTATAGACCTACGAAAGGTGGTTCTATTATAAAAATTAATTAAAATTTGAATGAATCGCTTTTAGAAATCACTCCGTGCGTATTCGTTTATCATTAATTTGTAATAAAATCGATAAAGATTATTTACAAATGTTGGGATTTTTTATGCAACTTAAAGAAAATGCCAATTGCAACTATTTTCTCTTTGCCTCTTAAATAGCGGATTAGAATTTTGAGTATACGCATAGAATACGTAAATGTGCATATCAAATATCTATTCATGAAATCTCTTCGATTTTTATATAATGATTTACTATAATTTTGTTTTTAAAATCAGCCCCATGGTTCGAATCGTGCAATGAGTCCGGAATGTGCAATGCGGGCTAAGAGTTACGACCACCACAGGCATGAGGGTAAGTTTTCTTCTAAATCGATTTTTCTTTTGTTTTTATAACATTGCCAATACTTCTTAAAAATATTATTTTTGCGATCAAAGCAGTATTATATATAATATGAAAATCTTGTTATGGCAGTATAAAATCTATTATTACTTGCACATATTTATATTTATATGCAATGCGTTATCATATATTTATCGCAAAAACGCTAAATATATCACGAAATGACAAGATTAGAATGTTTTTTTATAAAACATATATCTTATTATTACAAAGATTTTTCTTTACGCATAAAATAATAATATACTAAAATTACTAATTAGTTTAGCAAATAATAAAATAATAGTAAACAATTGATTATTTTTTGTAATGTTTTGTTTATTTGCATATTTGATTCGGAGCTCACGGCATTGGCGCTGATTCACATAACTCTGATTTGCAATTAACTAAATTTCAATTCCAATCATGTATAAAAACAAAATGTTTTTTGAACCTTCCGTTTCATGCGCGCGGACTCTCAGTCCGCACGAAGAACAAATTTTGGCGTAATTTTTAATGCACCGTCTTCAAAAGTCTCTTGTAAATGTTCTTTTACATGTTCAGCTTGCCTTAATAACAATGTAGATGAAGTATAAATAATTACTAATACCTCTTTTTATTTGAAAAGTTGAAAAACTTAAGGTTGAATAAACAAAAAAACAGACAGTTCGACGCGTGTAGTCTTGTTACAAATATTCACGTTAAAAATAGCGGAAGGTTAAATATTATTTAGAGTTTTTATTAAAAATGAATTTATATAACTCAATACTTTATATAGTTATTATTATTGAAGAGAAATTTAGTTTATTGCAAGTGGAATAAATAATATAGCTCATCTGTATCGTTATAATTTGTGTAACTGTCGATTTTGCATAACGATGTCTTTTGTACTATTAAAACCAACAAATAATATCCGTAATTAAATTCCTTAGTATCATGTGCAAATTATGTAAACGTATATTTGTCTTTATTTGTTACATGCAGAATAATGATTTAATTAAAATTTAATTATGATTAATTTGTTGGTATATTAATAGTGCATCAAACATCGTCAATCATTCCACTCCCGCTATACAAAATGTCTTGCAAATTCCTAAGATTATATAAAAATATTTTATTCTGTTAGAAATAATATACATACTATATTATTATTTTATTTTTATAACACATATAAATAAATTTTTTTAGACAGCTAGTTTTGGCAATATATTCTGATTATAATAAAACTGTAGTTCTTGAAAAGAGATGTAAAAATATACTTGAAAGTAATATTTCTTGCAGTCATTTTATTTAATTATTCAAAGTTTGCTAAAACTAAATGAATACTACATGAAGCGTCCAAGATTAATTTGACTTTCATAGTTGCCTTTGTGTGAATTCTGAAGAACAGCACATCATGTGCATTTTTAACATTTGTATCATTGTAAATGCGATAGAAACATCATTAGCAAGTATTTAAATAATAGTTAATTGGTTTGTCAGCTACTGTTAATAAATTCGTGATCAATTTTACATTTCATAAATATATAGTTCTAAACTAAATTAGTCATTGAAATATGTTAAATGGTTCGGTTTCCTCATTTTATATATAGCATGATCATTAGTTAGTTCAAATCACATTTCGTAATTACACTGTAATAATAAAGAATAATTTCGGTTAATAATGATATAATAGTTCTAAAAACGTATGAAATTTGTGAGACATTTTGTGATTTTTGCTTTCCTATCTTGAAATCCTCCTAACTCCTTTATATACAAAATCAACTTTTGGTCGTTGATCTTACTTCTGATACCAAACTTCAGTACCATTTCTGCTGTTTTTGTTGGTTTGTCTTGGTTGCACTATAATATAACTCTGACAAAATGTGTTGCCAAAATTATCTGCACATATATGAGTTTGGTAATTAACGTATTACGTTTTCTTTTAATTATTATTTATTATGAAAAAGACTGGCATCTCGTACTAATATATTGTTACACACTGACCAATTAAATGTCGTTTTATTATAGCCAAATATACAGCAATGAAGCATTAAGGCTAATTAAAGATATTTAAAATTTACGGTTGCGTTATTAGCAACTTTGTCTGTTGTATTAACAATTTTGATACTAAAAAGGTTTTCTAATGTGAAAATAAGCGGCATTTTTAAACATGCATGATTTTTCATAACAATTTATTCTAAAAATTTAATATTTCTAAATTTTGAATAAAAATCAATAAATATACTCTATCAATTTTATCCTAAAAATTCTATGTCAACAACTATATATAATGTATACTTCAAAAGTTATTACACTTTGTACTGTGGCATTTCATAAGGTATATCATTTTTTAATAATGCGTTCTGATCACTATGTCGTGGCATATTATTTATAAAAAAGAATCAATTATGTATAAGCGAAGAGCTACTGAACCTTATGAATAACGGTGTTTCTGTAGGGCTGAAAATTTTTATACTGACCATTCTTAGCATGCTAAGTACAAAAATCATCGACTGGCAGGTTTCAGCCCGGCACATCAACTTTAATCGTTCAAACTTAAAATCTTTATACGATTTTATTTATTTATTGAGAAGTTGAATAAACGATTTGCCAGGCGGTTTCAACCTGCCTGGCGTGTCGAAAGTTCACTTTTATGAGCAAAACGATTATGCATTATAATAAGCTTAAAGCTTAAAATTTATATATTTGTTTGTCTAAGGAGTCTATGCGATTTTAAAAAAGTATGTGTAATGCCAGGCAATTCTGGACTGCAAAAGCCCTTACCTGGCGAAGAAAAATATGCTATGGCGGGAGTGCAAATAATCTATTAAGATACCGTAAAAATTCATATCATAGATGTAAATTTTATTTGGATAAAATTAATTTTTAAATTATGGTCAAAATTGATTTAATTTGCTTGTGCAAGTTGAAATCGTCTGACAATTTCTTTTATGAACTTCTTCCCAATGCATCAATAAAATCGAATAATAATTTGAAGCTTATAGGAATTTTCAGATTTTTGTAAGTATTTTCAAATTCCTGTGGGATTTTGATGTGCAGCGCTAAAATCTTTCAGACGATGGTTTTCGTACTGACAATGAGCAATGCTAAGAATATCAGCACAAATATTTTTAGTTTTTCAGACACGTCATTATTCAAAAGGTTCATGTTATTAGTAGCTCTTGATCCCGTGTGTGAATATCTAATAAAAGAAAAAGAAAAAATCCGCATGAAGATACTAAATAAATAAGATTTGAGAAAAACAAATATTTGCAAGTTTTAATTTATAGTCATTAGCTAAATTTTACCAATTATATTGTGAAGTTACTTTGTTAATAAAAATTGAGATATGTAATAAAATGATAATTTTAAAGCGTTCTTCGAATAAAATAAGTTTATATTCTATCAAGTTTGTATTAAAAAGCCATATTTGCCGCTTTCATTAAATTCTTTACATTGATGAAACATCTGCTTAATCTAAAGTTGCTTCAGGTGGATGCGGGCGTACGATTTTCGAGCAATATTAATTTTTGTTTATTTTTCTTCTTTCATATATGCACTACGCACTTACTTTCTTGGTACTTTGCACTATTCCTACTATATCCCTAGATAATCCTTTACCACAAATTCAAGAAGATGACGTAGCCTTTTCGAGTCCTATTTATGACAACATTCTTGAGTGTAGCAACACCCAGAAATGTGACGACACATTCAAAAGCGCTAGTGCTCCTCAATGTGGTGATGGCGCTATGAGCACCAGCGTTTCAGAGTGTGTAAACATTTCAAAAATTGGCAACACCATTACGTTTAATGATACAGAAGATAGAGTTCCTTCAATTAGTCCTTTACGAGCGCAACGTTCCTTATCGGATCCACTAGTCACGCCCTCGCAATATCCATTACCCTCAAATGTCACTACGATTATTCCAATTTTAAATCAAGCTACCAACAACAGCAATAAAGTCCATGCCTCCTCCTCCCGTCACCATCATTCCTACCATCATTCGACAAACAAACATGCGTCACGTTTACAAACGTTAGACGTTACTGGCGATGCGGCAACGTCGGTCGCTTCGACGTCCCGTCGGTCGCCAAGACGGTCGCAGCGACACAGTATTGCGGGACAGATGAGCTACTTCAAGATGTTAGGTTTCGGTTTCGGCAAGAAAATGGCCTCCACTGGTGGAACTGCAGCAGCTGCGGGAGGTTTGTTCAGCACAGCTGTGATTAGCGGAAGTTCGTCGGCGCCAAATCTGAGAGATATGATTGCTAGTACGGCTTCGCCATCTGGTAAGATAATAGATTAAAATGTTATTTTATTAATCACATTTATCGAATTGCCATTTAAATAACTAGTTGAAAGTGGCATTTTGCCTTAAGGCAAGTTACATGAACTTCCCGAAATGTATAATAATTGACTTAATCAATCAAAACAGATTTAAATATTTAGATAAAATTTTCAACTGTTTATTTCGGAAATAAAATTTTCGCTTTCACAAATTTTTAAAAATAAAGTTTTCGCTTTTATTTTAAACATCGCTATTTCCTTTTGATATCTCTCAAATACATTTAAATTGTCTGTATTTATATTAATTATAGTGCACAGACACGTGTTCTAAAATTGTAGCTTATTATCCCAAATTATAATCTTCTTCTTCTATATATATAAAAATAAGTCGGGTTTTCCTTCCTGACGAAATAACTCTAGAACGCACGAACCGATTTCGACAATTTTGCATTCGTTGGAAAGGTCTTGGGCTCCGCAAGGTTTATAGCTAAGAAGATTAGTGGTGCATGGCATCGTGCCCTAATGCAAATTGCTGGAACTTCATGCACCGTAATTAAATATTCGAGTAATGACATTAGTGAGAATTATCAGAATTATGCTTCGTTAAGTCAACGAGCAATTCTTGCCGCAAAGAATAATGATGTACACGCACTGAATTTCACCATTCAATCAAAAATTGCTGGCGATTTGGTGACATACCAATAATTCCGACTGGTTTTTTGTTTGACTTCAAACAATTGCAATTTCCAGTTCGCGTTCGCAATAACAAGTCGCAAGGCCAATCGCTTAGTGTTTGCGGGATAAATTTCAAATAGATTATTTAGAAAATCATTGTTTTTCACATGGGCAGTTATACGTTCCCTGTTCACGAGTTGGAAAACCATCCGCTTTGTTTGTGTTAACGTCAGACCAAAAAACAAAAAATGTGGTTTACCAAAGAGCACTTCAATGAAACGGATAATTGGCGGATTCACTTTCATTTACTTAAAGAAGTTCAACTAAAAAACACTTCATTTTTGTAATCGAAATAAATTCATTACTGTTGTGCAATAAAATCAAATTTTTCCTTTTCAAATATAAAACAAACAAAAAATTTCTTCATTTTTCTCACGAAACCATCTGGTGGCGAAACGGAGTTCGTCGGGTTTGCTAGTTTTTTATAAATTTCATTTTATTTATTATTCTTTTTAATGGTGACGTTTAGATTTTTTTAACTTTTTTTTCTATATTCACCTATGAACATATGTATTTTGATCTATACATACGAATGAAACGGGATATCATTAGTGATGTGAGTTTGAGACTTTGCGTTTGCATGGCAACTATAATCTATTAAAATAAGATTTGAAAATATTCAATTAAAACAATATTTACTTTGTTTACTATAATGATCTTATATTATCTACTATGTCCATGTATACATTTTACTATAATGATTTTATATTATTTTACAGCATTAGAAGGTTTTGGAGGCGTTCCGCCTATCCGACCTTTGGAGACTTTACATAATGCTTTATCTTTGCGCCAGTTGGATAGGTTTCTGCAGCGTGTTACGGGTTCAAATCAGGCCCCGAGAACGCCATCGCAAACTGCTTCGGGAACACCAACTTTAGCCGCATGTACACGTGATGACCGAGGTGAAATATCACCAGGAAATAACAGTCGTAAGGGTTTACTCATTATTTAATACTTTAAATGTTTAAACTAGCAGTGCATGACAAAGTGTCGACATCCCTCCCTTCTTTTCTGGTGCGGCTGTCAACACACTGTCGACGGTCCCATATCTATTTTAAATCTATCCCGAAATAGTCAGCATAGTACAGTGTTCTCAACCTGGGGGTAATTACCCCCGCAGGGGTAAAACGGAGATTCTAAAGTGGTAACAAGGGATGGCACGAAATAGTATTAAAATATCAATAAACAAAATAATAGTGGGGTAAACAAAATAAAGGAAAGTCCTATGTTTGTGCTACAAGTGGACGAGTCTACAGATGTTGTTTCGTGTTCACAATTATTGATGTTTACACGATACTCTAAAAATGACGATGTAAAGGAGGAATATTTGTTCTGCAAGTCTTTATCCACTACTACCCGCGGCGAAGACGTATTTCAAACGCTAAAAGAGTTTATTGAGGAAAATGGCCTGATACACCATTTCGCTTTGGCTGTGAATGGAGTTGAATAATAAACATATTTTCGTTCAAATTTGTGTGGTTTTAATTATTTTAAATTAGCTAGGGGTAGTGACATTGAAAAGGTTGGGAACCACTGGCATAGTAGAAGCAACCAATTCCTACCCATACCGCAGTCAACGTGTGAAAGCAAATTGCTGGAAATTTCCGTACCATACTGTAATTAAACATTCGAGAAATAAAAATAATTAATAATCAATAAATAAATAATAAGAATTAATAACAGTTTTTTCTAAATATTTTCGAATAATTATTATAAATACTTGTGATGATATTGATGATTCGTATTTTATAGGTCTAATGATCTAATGATGTATTGACCATTTTTGACCAAGAAATGGTAATTTTTTAATCTTTTTTAAACTTCCTAAAAATGTTATCAGTCTTAAATTAAATTGTTTTTTTTTTAAACATTCTAGTTGGATATTCCATTCTCTCAAAAACTGCTATTTTTTGCTGGTTGAGCACTCGTAGTTGTAATATTATAAATAACTATCTATACTCTAATATGGTTATTGTTGTATTTGAGGATCATCAAACTGGAACGGTGCTTCAGGGGCATCTAGCATATGCAGTTCAATTTGTCCAGCAAGCACAGAATCTAGTGGCGGACCATCTTCACCCAATGGACCTTCCGATTACTATTCTAGAGGAAGCAGTGATTTGTCTGCTATAAGTAGTGATGGGTAAGTAATTTTATCATTAGAAATTAGTTTCATCTCTGTGCACATTTGGAGGACAGAGAATTTGGAAAATTCTGTTTTCAAACTAATATTTTAGGTATATGGCACTAACTACTGCTCCATCCATATCCGGTTTATTTCCTGCTGTCGGTGGTGACTTAGGTAACGTAGGACTACGTCTGGATGGCAATACCTGTCCAACTCCAGATGCTCCTCTAGCTGGTTAGTAACTAGACATTTTTTCTTTTTTTGATGGTTTGATGGTTTGACGTCTTGAAGATGTGAAATTTTTGCTCCTTTTTATCATTTTCAAACTTTGTCTAGAATAATGTTGATGAGTTGTTAAATATATTTTGGATTTAATATATTTGGATTTGGTATAGTTTTAACATACTGGAAATAATTATATCATTTGATTATTATATAGCCATACAAAATCACCCCCTATCTGGTATTTAAATGATGTATCCAAAAGATCATTTCAATCTCGCAGTTTAAAAATTATTATAATTCCATATTTAAACAAAACTATCAACGAGATTTGCCCTTTTTGCCCATTACTTCCTCATTAATTGTGATAAATATTTTTATTAAAATGGTCTACTAACACAATAGAAAAAGTTTTATTTGTTATATTGCCTACATAACCAATTTGTTTTTTATGCCATTGTTTTCCATTGTTTCCGTATATTTTATTTTTCGATCTTCTATTCTTTATCAATAGTTGGTGAAGACAGTGGGGATTTAACACCAGTCTCAACCGGGTCAGAATGGGAGTTCAATACAAATGATACAACAATGACTACAGACACAGACATTCCACTTTCTACTGACCTTAAAAATGAATAATTGAAATTTTAGAAAATTGTTGTTTTTTTAGAAAATGGTGATTTGTGTAACAATTTTCAACTGCCATTTTTAGATCAGGGTAATGTACGCTTATGTTTGAAATAATAAATACAGTAATGGTCAACTATGTAGCAAAGTGGTTGAATTTTATAGCATTTGCATATTCTTCATAGTAAATTTTAATAGATAGTTTATAGTATAAGTTGTTACAATGTTTATTCTTCAATAAACATTATTATTGTTATTTTTAAACATCTGCTGTGAAAATTGTAGTACATGGAATTATGTTTTGAAATAGACTGTTAATTATAATTAGAAAAATTAATATCTATCACAATCCACAAAAATGTCGCGATGTTTTAACAAGAACACACTATTAGTGCCATATTTGATAAAGGCACAAATTAATTTTGCCATTAGTTTTGACTTTATAAATAAAACATCATTAAAATCATTAAAATCAATTTCGTTGAGTTATGTAGTATGTTGAAATAACTTATAGCCTTGATATACCAGCAATATTTAATTTAAACTTTATTGACATCACTAAATAAGTTGGACTAATTGATCATAAAAAAATAACTTCAGTATTCATATTCAGTTTAAAAAAATTGAATATTTTTCATATAAAATCAATGCGGTTCCATACATTTAAAGCTGAAGATTAATTTCTTTGTTCTGACTAAAAAAAGTAATTTACTTAATGATCACATCTGTATGAAAATAGTATTAATGACTATTTGTTATTATAATCATTTAAAATATCAATTTTGTGATGAAAATTCAGTATTCACATATCACTCGATTGTTACAGCATAAAAAAATAAGTAGCTGCATAAATAATTTTTAAATGTCCAAGAAAAATAGGCTAAGTGGATATTTTAAACGTAAATTTTAAAAGTTTTGATTATGATCTAGAGATGTTGCATTGTTGCTGTTCTATTTCTTTTCGATAAACTAGATTTCCCAAACCTATTCACAAATTAAAAAAAAAACAGTATATACTATATATATATATGTATATATATACTATATATATGTATATATATATTATATATATATATATATATATATATATATATATATATATATATTAAACATCTGAAAAATACAAATTCTTTTTTATTTATAGGATTTATTGTTCGGAAAAGAAACACACACACACACACATATATATATATATATATATATATATGTTTGTAGGTATGTATGTATGTATATATAAGAGCCTTTAATTCTTACTTAACTTTATTATATGGTATTTTTCAAATAATATGTAGTGATCAGAATTTATAGAATCGGAAAGTTATCTAAATGAATAAATGGCACAGACAATAATATTTATGTATGTAAGAGACTTACAAATATCACAGTTTGCTAATTTTATAGTTTATTTAAATATAAGAAAATTTAGATGGAATCAGCTATCTAAGAAAGTATTAAACAAAATAAAATATCTATATAAAAATTAAATGTATTTTTATTCATGGTTAGATTGAATCTCAAAAAACAAAGTTTTTAAATATAACACAATAATAGTATTAGTTACTTTGTTGATTGGCATATGCTTTAATATTTGTTGAAAATTTGAAATTTTTAGAAAAGTTAGACTTTTTTAAATTTAAACTATAAACATTATGAGTGAAATGATCTATATTTTATTTCACTTATAATGCTTATAGTTTAAATTTAAAAGTCAATTTTTTTTTTAAATTAAAATTTTCAAATTTGCGCCAGTGAGCTGCGATTGGTAGTGCTCATAGTAATTCTAATATCAAGTTTTTTATGTTGGTTAAGTTCGTTTAGTTTTAATAGACAATATAATAATAACTAAGAATATAATGGTTTTAACTTGCAACAATGGGAAATCCATTTATTTCCATCCCTAGACAATATTAGAATATGATACATGTATTAATACTTAATAATTATTAAAAGTAAATTGTTTCTTTAGAGAAGACAATTTTGGTAAGAAACACTCGGCATATAATTTAAGTTTGTAGGACTAAGTAAGGCATCGCAGGCAACTTACTCCAGAAGTAAAGAAATACCACGACATAATCATGAAACTTATGAAAAATAATAAAATTGCCAGAGCAGAGCTGAAGAAAGCATGCAGAATTTAAAAAATGTTGTGAATTTACTCACTGCAACGCACATTAATAAGCAGAGAGCTTGGAACAGTAATATATAAGCAGAGCCCAACAAGCTATAAATATTGGAGATGCTTTTTGGCTCTAGCTTCTGAAAGTATACTGTTTCTAGGTCATTGGCAACAATTCCTATCAATAAGATTCTCTTAATAGAAACTGTGTCCTCATATTCGATGAAATTAGCATTGCAGTAGGTATTGAATATGATGCAAGTAAGATTAGCAAGTTTGCTGAACATGCTTTGGTGTTTATGATTAAAAGCATTTGTCAAAAAAGACAAGAAAGTTAAAACTCCTTCAACTATTCGAAATTGGATTAAAACTCTAGAGGGTTATGAATATATTTGGCAGAAAATAAAATCTCCTAAGATAAAATTTTTACCAACTTGCAATTTTAACCCAGCCCTTCTAGAAAATTTTTTGGTATTAGAAGTCATGGTGTTAATAATTGCAATCCTACTTGCAGTGCATTAATCGGATCCTACAGAAGCCTTGTTGTCAATAAGTTTCATTCTGTTCATTCTTATTCTGCCAATTGTGAGCTTGACAAATCTGAAGGAGCTATTGAATCATTGAAAACATTATTATTGAGTAATGCTTTAGTGAATGTTACGTGTGAGTTTAGCTTGAATGAAGATATTCTAGCATTGTCTAATGTGAATACTCATGAATTTACATTAGAAGAAGAAAGTAGCAGTTTATTGCATGTTCAAGTTATCACATACATGACTAGCTTCATTACCAGGAAAGGCTTTAGTTGATATTATTTGTTGAGTCCGACATACCCAAGCATAGGACCCAGTCTGGGATGCGTAAATGCATTTCCTACTATTGATTGAAATGTTCTTGTTATTACAATATATTTTTATTTATTGTTATATTTTTACAAGTTTTAATACAATTGTAATGCAATATTCAAATTCTAATAAATTATTTTTAAAATTATAATTTTTTCTATTAATATATTTTCTTTAAAGTACCAATATTTTACATTCACATTGTTTTAGCTTTAATTTGAATGGCGATAAATGTTATATGCGATTAAAGCGCCATAGCAATGCAGCGTCCGTAGTAATAATTAATTCTATGAACCAAAATATCGCTAGAATGACAACTAAATTTTATGTTCCCTGCATACTTCACACGTAAACAATTGTATGTCAGTGGCAATTGTCATTTGTCAGTTATGTTACAAAATATAACCTAGAAAAATGTTTTGAGATCAGACAAAGATTTTGTTTTAATAAGTGTGTTTGAGTAACGATAAGTGAACGATGTACAAATAATAATTAATGAAATACTTGTGGTCATAATAATATACTTCAAGAAGAATTAAAATATCATTTGCTTCAAAAATGTCTAAAAAACATCCGTCCACAAACTATACTTCTTGTTTTAAAATTGATGGAGTTCCAATATTACCTCCTTTGGTGAGTTTTTTTTTGTATTTATATTTGTTATGAAATTTTTATTGCCTTAAATGTATTGTTTTAAAGGTATTGATAGTTATTTAGTTCTAAACAGATAACGTAGTAAGCAATATCTTTATAAAACTCTAATACAAGAGCATCACAGTCAATTGCAATAATAGAGAAAACTAGCTAAATAATGATGGTTGGCTTTTCAATTACTTTGCAGTTCTGTTTATCCTTATGAATACGCACTCAATTCTTTATTATTTTTATGCAATGATTGTGCAGAACATAATTTAGTATTATCATTTTTAAAGTTTTGCTCATACATTTTTTAGTTGACTCCTGATAGAAGAAAGGAAATCGCTTATTACAAACAACTAGCTCTAGCAGTCGAAGAAAGAATACAATTACTGAAGGGAAATAAATCAAAAACCCCAGAACATAGCAAGCAACAAATATCTAATACAAATATTTATAATTGTGGAGATAATAACTATGAATTAGTTTATGCTGAACCTTTATCTTCTAATACAATTACAGATCAAAATGTTTGCAAAAATAACAAGCACTTAGATTATACAGCATCATGTCCAAGTCATTGTGTTCAACTAAAAGATAGTTTGGAAGTTAAACATTTTACTTCAGTACCTGTCTTGGTCAGATCTAATTCTTATACACTTGATGAGCCAAGTCCATTGTTGCAAGCCCAGCTAGAGAAACAAGGAATATTTGAAAATGGTAAAGGTACTAAATGGGCTACCAAAAATAATATACCAAATCATATGGGAGGCTGTGGCGATAACATTGAGCAGACCAAAATTGGTATTAAAAGAAAATTGCCTATGAAATATGCTGATAAAAAGAATTACAATGGGTACTCAATTGTGCCCAAAACTGCTTATGAATCTGATTTGAATACAGAATATGTATCTGATCAAAGCTCTACTGAATTTATATATTCATCTCAAACTAAACCCATGGATAGACAATCTGGCAGCATTTACAGTGTCTCATCAAATACTGGCTCTTCAAACCCTAGCGAAGAAACTAATGATTTAGAAACTACAATAGAAGCAAATACTATCGAAGCTGAAACATTAATGAGAGATGAATCATATCAAACATCCCATTGCAATGAATCTTATAACGAGTCAGTTACAGAACAAAATTTATCTCAGAAAACTTCACATTTGAATGAAGTTATAATACCCTTAGAAGCCCAGAAAAGCATTCAAAATCTATTTGAAACAATTCAAAATAATCATACAGCACAAATGCAGAAACTAATAGATCAGCAAAAAGCCGATCAAGAATTATTAAAACAAGCTTTTGAAAAACAACAAGCAGTTCTTTTGAATGAGATACATAAATCATATTCATCGTCTAAATTTTGCAAAGCACACTCTGAAAATTCTTCTAATAATAATCCTGATCCTGAAATACCACATTTTCAAAATATAGATAATAATGTTTATGCCGTTGAAGACAAATGTTGTGAAAATGGCAGTGAATTCATTAGGGCATCTCAAACTGTACTTTCTGAATCCAAAGATTTATTAAAACGTGCAAAGTCTTCTATTGATTCTTATGTAGAATCCCATCATCCTAGTGCAAATCTTTCCCGCGAATGTCTTTCTAGTGTCACATCAAGTGTTGCATGTAATTTGAACAACAATGATTTACAAGAAATCACACCAAGCACCACTTTAGACGATTCTGAACTATATTGTACACCAATTGATACCCCAGTTAAATCAAAATTAAATAATGATTACAAAAATTCAGTGCAATGTTTTAAAGATTTGAAAATTATAGACATAAATGAAGAAACTGGTGATTGTGATAAAGAATTGATTTGTGATCCTCAAGACGATGCTAGTCAAACAAATATTTCTGTGGAAACTTGCACCGAAACAATATCTTATTGTACTAGTTTGCATCGAGTGAAAGGTGAATTGTTCCATGAAGTAAAACAGGAACAGTTTGTTGATCCAGAAATAGAGGTTAGTAATTATTATTAATTGAAATTTGTTGTGTATCGCATTGAGCCTTTAAACATTCTGGTATACCAATAGTACTTGAAGTAATAGACAAATCATAATTTTAAATTTACATGCTAATGTGATGCTATATTTAGAATATTAAAACAATGTTCATCGAATGAAAACTTGAAAACAAATTCATGTGCATGTGTAAAACATACACTTATCTCCCATTTAACAGAAGATAGGTTCTATAAAAAACCATGTAACTCAAAAAATGCACTTTTACATGGAAAAACATGCTAAACAAAAATCATTGTAAAACCCCATTTTGTCAGTTCTTAATGTGATGAATCATTGAATGAAAAATAAATAATAATATATTTGATATCAAACAAATTTAATAAATTATAGCTTCATTTATAGAATAAAAGTTTGCAACATCTATTATTCCTTCATGATTACGGAGACGGTTCATAAATTCAAATTCAAATAATAATCGGTTATAAAAATTCATTATTTTTTATTTCACGCTATTTGAATGCGTTATGAGGGCAGCCTTGCCGAGAGATATTTAAACGCCCTTCGCTTCCTCTCTGAACGTAAATTATCCAATTATAGGTATTAATCTATCAAATTTGCCTAACAGATTCCTAAACGAGCTGAAAAATTTAAAAAAAATATATTCTTTAGACCTTATACTACGCAAGTTAAAAAGTTCGTCGAATGTAGTTTTTTCAGTTTTCAAAAAATTTTAAAGCTTTTTGAAAAATGTAATTTTCGGTAAGTGAAGTTTTAGCAATTTAGTTTTTAAGGCACGATGCTATGCACGACTTAGTTAACATCCCGTAGGGTAGGTTATAGTGATCGCAAAAAATCGAAAATGAAAATTTCTATATATCGTTACTTTTCAAAGGTTTCTGAACATTTTGGAATACCTTAGAAAAAAAATGTATGTGTGTGTGTTAACGCCTCATTCCCCAACCCTGGTCTAATTATCATATTTTATTATCTCCATGCAGGATAGCGATAATAAACCCTCATTCCTTACGCATCCTGTCGCAAAATCAGTAATCCATTTTTCCTAGAATTTTTATCACCTGTCCCTGACTACATCATACAATCATCCTTATATTTCCAAGAAATTCGCACTACCTGTATCCAGTTTAAATTCTCCGTATCATGCAATTTATCAACCAATACCTGATCGATTGATAAATGTAATAACCACTGATTGGTTCCAAAATTGTAATGGGGTGTCCTTAACTCCACAAAATGGGCCAATCAGAAAAATATATAAAATTATAAAATCTACATAATTTAGTATCAACCTAAATTTCACATAGCTAAGATCAGTCGTAAATTAACACTCAAATCCAAAACATCTAATTCAAACCTCTATCTAATCATCTATAAATCTTAATATTTCAAATACACAATAATCAAACAGTTATTCAACATCTTTTATTTTTATTCAAACGGTCTGATATAGCCAACAACTAAATATATCTGGTCCTTCGGCAAAGTGCAAGTGTTCAATAGAGTTCGGCAGCATCCAGATAGATCACGAACTTCTTAAACACTTTGAACCTATTTCAACAAATACTTTTTTGGCCATTCAAACCGAATGGTCATTTTACTAAACAGTGTGTATGTATGTGCGGATACAATTTTTCATCGATGATTTCGGGAAAACCGATCAACCGATTTGAATAATTCAAAAAACATTTAACTTGTAATGACGAAATGAACAACTGGTGAAATTTTTGACAAAGCAAGTCTAGGATTTCCGGAAATCCAATAAAAAGAAGTAAAAAATAATTCCATTTGGCGGTCAAAAATGATCATTAGACATATGCATATCATATTTTCAGATATTTTATAGAGATTTTAATAATAAGTACAAATTTTGTGTCCATTTATATCAGTTTCGTGCCAATGTTTACGTTAGAATACGACGCGGCGCTTACTCGCTTCGATATTTCGATTTTAATACAGCTATGCTAATAGTACAGCGCGATTGTTGTAGTAAAATGTTCAATATTTTCAAAAAAAATCACAATATAAAAAAAAATTCAAAAAAGGCAAATATTTGAAAAAAATCAAAATTCTCAAAAATCTATTTTTTTTCAAAATTTTGAAGAAATTTTAAAGGTTTTTTTTAAAAAAATAGTTTTTTGCTCTAAGGCACGATGCCATGCACAACTAGTTTTAATATGCAATTAGTATCAAATTTTCTGTAATCAAATAGTTATTTTAATTTTAGAAAAATGAGTCATAAAAACAACTTAAGTAAAATTTTAGGGATGGGGTGGCATTTTCGTCAGTGCCCCAGTGCGCCAAATTTTTAAATCCAGTGTAATGATCATAGCTTTAATATTGCACAAAGAATATTTCAGGATGCCAGATGTCTTGTTTTCCTTAAATACTATGTTTTTTTATAATATATTTTTTTAACAGCAATCAGAACCTTACGTCCTATGAGCTGTTGGGCTGAAACTTCTCCTTACTTCGTATTTTTTTAGATGGTAACCCAATGTTTAATACATCCATATTTGATGATTTTGTTATTAGAATTATTCTAATAGGGCTGACTTTTTATTGGTGCAGCAATGCCGGGCAAGCGCTATTTTCACTTGGAAACATATTACTATCTATATTTTCAAGTGAAAATCGTTGTCAATGCTGCCTGACAACAAGCTGCTCGAAATGGGTATCGAACCCGGGACCTCTGATTCAGGTCCCGTCGCTCTTAACCTCTTACCTATGGGCGAGCCCAAATACTATGTGTCGCAAGTAATTTTAATTCTTACGGGACGGTACCGATTTCAAAACAATCTACTTTACCGGCTGTAAACTTGATTTCATTGTGTATGTTATGCAATTTGTTTAATAAAAATTTGTGGTCATTGAAGGACATTCTTTTATAATATCAATTTATTTTTTATCATTTTATAAATAATGGTAACGTTTAAAATAATTTCCAACATGTATAGCGGGTAGATTTTGTCATTTTTCACAATAAAATGTTGTTCGCCGCCTTCCTCCTAGTGCTTTTTCTGTCAGAACAGGCGATACAATTCCCTTTTGTTTCTCTCGCATTTAGAACATTCTACTTATTAGTCAGTATATTGTCTGTAGATGGAAATGTTTGAGATTTTCGAAAATCACCTCTCAACTGTTTTACAAGACTTTTTACAAAATTGTGGTGTGACTTTGGTTTTTGTTGTATTTCTTCTTTTGATATTCGGTAAAGTATCTAGGAATTTATAACGCACATTTCCAATCCCCAAAAAATAATTTTCTTCACCATTTCAAGGATTTTCGCATAAAGCAATACATGGAGGCATATTGATCTGCAAGATCGACAACGCCTATATTTCTAGTATAATCGATAACCATTTGAGGCTTATCAATGAATATAATATTTCCACCACGTAACTTTCTGTATATTGACTGCGTTTCCGCATGTGTATAATTGTTCAGCATTATGGTGTTTTATTGTCTTCCCACGCAAGAAGTCTAATATTTTTTTCTATATGGTTCAGTTTTTTTTCTTCTGAAAATTTTGGTTTACGATTTTCCATAGATATGCCTTTTTGATTAACTTTTGTCATGCCAGTGAGATGGCTTTTCATCTTTAGCAATTCCTCTGCTAGAGGAATTCTGGTTAAATATCTATCGGTATACATATGGTATCCCTGAGCATCATGAGCTGTTATTCCTAACGTTTGATATAAATGCAATAGAATTACAGGAAGCTTTGCGTGGGAGATACTTTTGATTGTGTGGCTGCCAAAATAAGGAAGAATTGAAAATAAATATCCAGTTATTGCATCAGTTAATGCATATATATCCGTATACCCGACTTAGTTGACTTATTTGGATTATATCTTGAGAAATGATACTCTTCTTTTGATTTTTTTTCACTGATTTGTCGACACAAATTGCTTTATATGGTAAGAAATATTTACTAAAGTTGGAATTTACATATTCTAAATAATTGCTGACCTTTTGGTTACAAGTTTTGATTGTGTAATCGCTTTGCATATCTAAGGAAATCGTAAGGAATTTTTCTAATGGAATCAGTAGACTAATATTCGATAAAAGCTAAAAAAAATTGCTTGGTAACATCATGCCTCTTGTTGCCACTTGATAATTGTTTGTTCATTCATTTGTTGGCATAATGGTTTGATTTTTTCTATTATATTGTCTATTAATTCATTTGTAAAATATAAAATAAAATAATCTATAAGATGTCTTATATTGCTAGGTATTTGTGGTCCGGGTGTATTCTGATGTATGTCAAACTCAATTATTGAAGGAGAATTGGCACTTTCGTTAATGTCTTTCCACTCTTCATTTAATTTGTCATTTATAGAGATATTTTCTGTTTCACTACTTGTATCGATTTAACTATTTGTCGAAGTTCTTTTTCTTTTTGTTCGTTGGATAATATCATCATCACATTCATCACTATCTTCGGTGCGAATAGTTATTTCCTCAAAATTGTCTGTATAAATGTCTATTTGAAACACATGTTCACTACTGCTTACTTCACAAAATTCACAAGTCATTTTGCTCGGTCGTTCTGCCATATTTAAAAAATACTATTATATATAGCAAAGAAAAGGGCTAAAAATTCTTCTAAAATAACTAATAATTATTTTCAAAATACAACACTATTTATCACTGCTATATGTAATCTATTCAACGTTTCGATGCAAACTGAGTCATTGTTTATAAAATAGCCCGTGCCTCACAGATAGCCTAACAGAGTACGTTGTGGTGGACAGCCGTCTCCAAAGATTTTTTGTGTTTTGAAGCAAACCAAGTCATGATAGAAATTATGTTTACAAATATAATTTATATGCAAAGAATTTATTATTTATTTACTCATAATTTATTTTGGTGCAAAGATTGCACCAAATATATTATGAGTAGTATTTATACATTAAGTACAAGCATATTATTTGTATAGCTCATATTAAATCTACATGATTCTTTACCTAGATATCAGAATTGTTTTTTATGTTTTATATATGATTCATAATCGGTTTATGGCGGACTCTCAATATTTTGTTTTAATAATAACCTATTTTTAAAAATATTATGTTTACCATAATATTAAATGTTCAATATATTATTTTTATCAAAATATATTATGCAATCAATCCATGAAGGACGATATACTCCTCACCCTCTTTCACACCGATAGATATAAGTGTTAACATTTTTGTTAAATAGGAATTTAGAAATGTATATGAACAGATTGCTCCGTTAGAAAGATCGTGGTCTCTTGTTATGTATAGAACAACATATTTTGGAAATGAATGTAAATTTGGTCGTTTGTGTTATGATATGTCTGTGTTATATTGTTAGAGGAAGGACCGCGCCTCGACGGTGATTTGTGCGGCCGCCCGTTCGTTCCTCGTCCGCCGCCTGCTGAGGACGCAGAAAATTTGTTCGATAAAACGCGCCATCAGGGAGACGCTGCTCTGCGCTTTGAAATTGCACGGCGAAGGCGGAATCAAGACGACCGATGCCGATTTGCATCGCAGGCTCATTCAACAGGTCAGTCGACTGTTGCTAATTCATTAATTTCAACAGCAATTCAAAACTATCTAATCGTTTTATTCAATTATTTTTAATCAATGAGATATTCGGCACGTTGTATCAGTTTGCTTTCAAATATTTGAAATCGCCGTACTCATTTTCGGGAAAGCATTCAAAATTTGCGTTCACATACAACATATACATTACTTCTAAACGATTCAAAACAAATATAGACAAAGAATATATGACAATACAGCATTCTCTTCTCAAAATTTACTATTATTTATATTCAAAGTGTTTTTTAACCTTCTTTATTTTATAATCTTTTTTCTAAAAACGGTAATATGACCGAACAATAATTCATAAAGCAATATTTTCATCAAAAAATAATATATAAAAAACGATATACTACACATAGATAAACATAATTTGATTTGATATTACACTTTTCTGTGCAGTGATAAGAAAACTGTCAGGACCTTAATACTGCCAATGCTTACACACTCATATCAAACGAATTACATAAACATATGTTTTCGTCAGAATGCGGCACCGAGTTGCTAATAGATTGCTTTTAAATTGCTTTTAAATCAGTGCCGAGTGGTAAGGGTTTAAAATGAAAATGTTTTAATTATAAAAAAATATTCAGTTCTCGTCGAACCCTCGACCCGAACGGACGTGTCACGCGAGCTCTCGAGCAAATAATTTATTGGGTAGTCAACCATAATCCACGGTTATACATGTGTAGAGATCCATATACATTTTTATTTATTCTTTTTATAAATTTATTTTAAAAGTATTGGTGATATTAGTCGTGTTAAAATAAGTGCGTTATATGTTAAAGTGAGATATGCAATCAAGAGAGTTTGCTCAACCCAACGGCCGACCACCAGACGTAAGTTTGGTTAGCTGTTCAACTGCTGGCGAATCAATTGCGCAAGCAATGAACACAGTGAATCACAAGGAATATGACATTATTGATAGTGAAATGGACGTAAGTGACTACTCAAGTGAAAGAATTAACATAAAAACAATTAAAAATGTCAGTGACCCAGTGCATATAAATACCGCCGGTAAGGATTACACGGCGAATCAACATATTAACAATAACGTCAATCAGAACACCGAAGTACACACAACTCCTGAACCAATCAATAGAAATATGAATGTTGTTGATCAAGGCCAGGGATGGACAACCATTACAAATAAAAGAAGACAGGAAAATTACTGCAACGAAGCAACAACGAAAAAGGTTACCTTGAAAGACTACTGGTTAAACTTAGTGCCCACAAATAATTATTATGACACTCTGCAATACGCGCCTTCTACTGTTGAACCAGTAGAAAAGACAATTAATCCACCACCAATCTTTGTCTACGGTGTTGACGACATCAAGCCTCTCATCGAATTATTAGAATTACACGCCAAGGACAAATATTCTTACAAAACAACTGGACTGCAACAAGTCAAAGTAAACACGAAGGATCCACAGACGTATAACACCATACTAAAACATTTGAAAGAAAAAGGAACTGAACTACATGCATATCAAACAAAGTCACAGCGATCTTTCAAAGTTGTAATAAAAAATTTACATCATAGCACTGATGTAGACATGCTAAAACAAGAAATAAGTGAAAAGGGTCACAATGTTTTAAGAATTTACAACTTAAAACATAGGTACACAGGATACCCAATAAATATCTTTGTGGTGGAATTGGAACAACAGAAAAATAACAAAGATATTTACTCCATTGACTTTCTTTACAGAACCAAGGTTTCTATAGAAGCAAACAGACCTACTCGAGAAGTGCCACAATGTACAAGATGCACAGCGCGTTGCGTAAAATGCGCCGGAAAACACATTACTAAGGAATGTTCGTCGAGAGATTTTGTCAACCAAATGTAAAATGCGCACTTTGTGGGGGAAACCATCCCGCAAGCTATAAAGGATGTGCTATTTATCAACAAGAAAAATTTTGTAAATTCCCACCATTAAGAAGAAGTCAGACTCCCCTCAAAAATCCCGTTAATACGAGCCACTCCTTCGTACGTGCAAACGTCTCCTTCTCAGAAATAACAAGAAACGCACAGAAAATAGATAATAATGTTACATGCCAACAAGACTATTCAGAACAACCTACAAACCATCAACAAGCCAATCAACAAAGTGACATACATAAATTAAAAAATATGATGAAAACGTTAATGAACCAAATGGGCACTGTGCTCAATATAATTACAAGTCTTTTAGTGAATAAAAAATAATGGCTTTCGATTATAAATTGTGCACATGGAACGCCAACGGTCTAGCTCAACATCACCAAGAGCTCAAACAATTTCTTCTAAGCAATGACATTGATATAATGCTAATTTCAGAAACTCATTTTACGAGCAGAAGTTATTTTAATATTCCATTCTATACCACTTACAGCACCAGGCATCCTGACGATAGAGCACACGGAGGATCAGCCATTTTAATAAAATCAAAAATTAAACATTATCTAATGGAACCTATCTGTAATGATTTCCTGCAAGCAACCATCATTTTTATAGAATTTCCTCAAAGTAATATTACAATTGCATCAGTCTACTGCCCGCCTAAACACAAGATACTAAAACGAGACTTTGAAACGCTTTTCAACGGTCTTGGAAATAAATACATAGTAGCAGGGGACTATAATGCCAAGCATACTCACTGGGGTTCAAGACTATGCAATCCCAGAGGAAGAGAACTCTACAACTTAATTAACTCCAACAACTCAACACCAATATCGGCAGGAGAACCTACCTACTGGCCAAGCGACATGCATAAAAAACAGATTTACTAGATTTCTTCATTTGCAAAGGTATTCCAGAAAGAAACTTGAAAGCCTACTCAAGCTTGGACTTGTCTTCAGATCACTCTCCGGTACTTGTATCTTTTATCAATACTGAACCAATCTGTAACCTCAACCAAGACAAGACATAAAGTATTTATTACAATAGCTGATCATACATATGCATTGTTATTTACACATATTTTTCTACCCTTGGGTACTTTAAATTACATTATTGATCTTAATATATACAGTGAATATTGTGAATATAGCGAGATTACAAATTGAGTGGCAAAAAAAGAGGAAAGAAAACTTCTCCTCAAAAAAAGCCACAGAGCAATATTTATAATTATACATAACTAGCAAACCCGACGAACTCCGTTTCGCCACCAGATGGTTTCGTGAGAAAGATGAAGAAATTTTTTGTTTGTTTTATATTCGAAAAGGAAAAATTTAATTTTATTATACAACAGTAATGAATTTATTTCGATTACAAAAATGAAGTATTTTTTAGTTGAACTGCTCTAAGTAAATGAAAGTGAATCCATAATTAATTCGCAAATTTTCAACTAATTTTCTTAGCTATAAACCTTACGGAGCCCGAGACATTTCCAACGAATGCAAAATTGTCGAAATCGGTTCGTGCGTTCTGGAGTTATTTCGTCAGGAAGAAAACCCCAACTTATTTTTATATATATATAGAAGATAATCTATTTGAAATTATTTAAAACAGTTATTGATTATTTTTATTACTCGAATTTTTAATTACGGTGCGTGCAGTTCCAGCAGATTGCATTAAGGCACGATGCCATGCACAACTAATTTTCTTAGCTATAAACCTTGCGGAGCCCGAGACCTTTCCCACGAATGCAAAATTGTCGAAATCGGTTCGTACGTTCTGGAGTTATTTCGTCAGGAAGGAAAACCCGACTTATTTTTATATATATAGAAGATAATCTATTTGAAATTATTTAAAACAGTTATTGATCATTTTTATTACTCGAATTTTTAATTGCGGTGCGTGAAGTTCCAGCAGCTTGCATTAAGGCACGATGCCATGCACAACTAATTTTCTTAGCTATAAACCTTGCGGAGCCCGAGACCTTTCCCACGAATGCAAAATTGTCGAAATCGGTTCGTGCGTTCTGGAGTTATTTCGTCAGGAAGGAAAACCCGACTTATTTTTATATATATAGAAGATTATACAAATAAAAAGAAAAAAAAAACAAAAATAAAAGATTTATGCTCATCCAAGTATCAATTGCCACTATGGGTCGATCAGTATATATTTTGGCATGGCGTGAGTGCCATACCAAATATCGTCTCTTGTGTATTGGCCGAGGCCCGCGATGTTAATATTAGGATGATCCCCACATTTTAGATAAAAAATTTCAGTGAGCTTTTTTATAAAGTCTAGTATGATCGGTAAGTCAGTCTGTTTGTGTATGTATTTTGAAGAGTAGTAATGTCTAGTCAGTGGGTCCCTTATTTTGTTGAGTACGAGTCGCAGTGTCTTATTTTGTAATGTCTGTAGTTTTCGTAAGTTAGTCTTAGTCGTCGCGTTCCATGCCGGAGCGGCGTATGTCAGTATCGGTCTTATTAGTGTCAAGTAAAGTGTTCGCTTGTTCTTCACGCTTAGCGGGCTGTTGTGGTTCAAGAGAGGTCTCAGCAGATTTAACATCCCGTAAGCCTGTCCAATTTTTGTATTAACATGTTTTGTGAAGCTGAGTCTATGGTCCAGGGTCACACCAAGATATTTGACATCCTTGGACCACTCAACTTCACAGTCCAATACTTTAATTTTGTCCAAGTCAGTCAGTCTAGTCGTGGCATTTCGGCTCTTTGTGAAAAGAATAGCCTCCGTCTTTTGCGAATTTGCCATTTGTCAGTATATTCAGTTAGTTTGACTATGTGTGTCTGTATCTTTGTAGTCAGTAGTGTAGGCGAGCGTGATGATTTGTATATGGCAGTGTCGTCAGCAAACGTCAGTAACGTTGTGTCGGCGTCAGTGGGTATGTCGTGAATGTAGACGTTAAACAGTGACGGTCCCAGGATTGAGCCCTGCGGTACTCCCGCCGTCACTTGTTTAACCGTCGAAAGTCCGTTGTCTACTTGTACAGTGAAGTTGCGGTCTGAGAGGTATGAGTGTAAAGTTCTCGTTATGTACGGTGGAAAGTTTAGTTGGATAAGTTTATGTATAAGTCCGTCCATCCAGATGGTGTCAAA